GCTGGGGGCACAAGCGTCCCCCTTAAGAGAACCACTGTTCTACCGGGGCAGGGAAGAGGGTACAGGGTACAGGGCAGAATGGGGTGATGTGGGGATTGAATTTCTGCCCCTCCCTACCCCAGGACGGCTCCATGATCTCTGGAAAGTGGTTCTATTTCTGTGCCCCCCCCCCCCCCGCCACACACACACACACACACACACACACACACACACATCCTCTTCCCTGTGAAACGGGAGCTAAAGTCAGCACTCCCGGGGAGTCCTGGCTCTGATGCAACACATTCACAAGCAGAATGTGCTCGCAGGGACCCGAGACTCGACGGGCCCCTGCCAGTGGTAACCGAAACCATAATTGCCATGTTTTTATTAAGCAACGATGACATGGCCTAATTGGCAATAAGTCTATTAGGAAAGAAGCATGCAATCACCCTGATGACTTGAGGCCTGCGAGCACGCTCTGTGTTCACGTCTTCATCATTACATGGGCGGCTGCAGCCTGGGGCCCGGACTCCTTCCAGCTGGAGGAGGAGCAGGGGGACCCAGCCGCGGCCAGGCCTCTCCATGTCCCCCTCCCTTACCCTGTCCCATCTGAGCCTGCAGTTCGCTTGTAAGCCACTCAAGATAGTGAGTGAGGCCGACTAAAATGAGTGATTCTGATTTGACAACAGGTGGAAACTGATGTACAAAGATACACAGTGACTTCTTTCTTTCTTTCTTTCTTTCTTTCTTTCTTTCTTTCTTTCTTTCTTTCTTTCTTTCCTCCCTCCCTCCCTCCCTCCCTCCCTCCCTCCCTCTCTCTCTCTTTCTTTCTTTCTTTCTTTCTTTCTTTCTTTCTTTCTTTCTTTCTTTCTTTCTTTCTTTCACTTTTTGGGTCACACCTGGTAATGCACAGGGGTTACTCCTGACTCTGCACTCAGGAATTATTCCTGGCAGTGCTTGGGGGACCATATGGGATGCTGGGAATGGAACCCGGTTTGGCCGCATGCAAGGCAAATGCCCTACCCACTGTGCTATCACTCCAGCCCCAATAGTGACTTTTTTCCAAAGAAGCAGTCAATAGCCCAGCGAGGCAGGGCTGGGACCTGGGGTCCCAGAGACCCTCTGCTCCTGACTTCCTCATGTTCAAAGCACCTCTTCCCTCAGTTGGAGACATCTGGTGGCCCCTGTCTAGCTGAGACACAGTCCAAGGGCCACTGTTCACAGTAACTTCCACTCAAAACTTATCCCTTTCCTAGGATATTTATACTCTGAACCTTCGCGTCCAGTGGGTGGATGGTTTTTGTTGCTGAGCCTAACTCTTCAGCTGGGTGTATTCCAGGTGTCTTTCCTGTCATGGTCCTGCAGAAAAAAGAATTCCACTCGCCTCAGTTGGAAACTTTAGGGAAGGGGCTCTCATAATCTTTTGGGGAGCAATAGGGGTGGAGAGGACTGGAGGGGTCAGCGTCTAGGGCTGAAGGAAGCACATAGAGGGCAAGGGGCGACTGCACCCTTTGAGAAATTTGTCTGTACTATCTTCTATGAGGTCACTTATCTGGGTTCTCCAGAGTTTTCTGAAAGAGGAGATTTCCTTCTCTAGTTATTGTACTAGAAGCTGTGTGGTACAATCGGTAATATGTTTATTCCAGATGAGCATCTTTGAAATGGACAGACCAGCTGTCAAGAGCTTCATGTCAGCACCCCCCTACCAAGGAAACTTCCAGTCTCCTGAGGTATCTGAGCCATGAACACTTGTACTCCCTCAACTCTGTGCCAGAATAGCATACCACTTAAAAGATCCATTTGGGGCTGGAGGGATAGCACAGCAGGTAAGGCGCTTGCCTTTCATGCAGCTGACCAGAGTTTGATCCCTGGCACCTTATATGGCTCCTAAGCCTTGTCAGGTAAAGGTAAAGCCTTGTCAGGAGTGTTTCCTGAGCACAGAGCCAGGAGAAAGGCCTAAGCATTGCTGGGTGTGGCTCAAGACAAAAAAAAAATTCCTTTTTCCATTTCCCCACCCCAACTTCAGTTCTGCTTTAAATTCACGAAAAACACAAAATAAACAAGGATACCATAGTGAATGGACTGGAGCGATAGCACAGCGGTAGGACGTTTGCCTTGTGCGCAGCTGGCCTGGCCGAGCCAGGTTCGATTCCTCCGCTCCTCTCGGAGAGCCCGGCAAGCTACCGAGAGTATCTCACCCACACGGCAAAGCCTGGCAAGCTATCCGTGACGTATTCAATATGCCAAAAACAATAACAATGAGTTTCATGATGGAGACGTTACTGGGCCCGCTCGAGCAAATCGATGAACAACGGGAGCACTATGCTACCGTAGTGAATATAAAGACAGAGAGATTGAATTGGGATCATTTTGGTGTTGCATTGATGCCAAGTCAAAAAGTTAGTCACGAAAAAGACAAATACTGTTGTTACCCCATGTCTAGGAGAATTCTAAAGAAATGGTCACAGAGAAAGAACAGTGGTAGCTGGAGCTGGGGTCTCGGGTGGTGCTGGAGGGTTGTTCAAGGGATCCAGAATTTCCCTTTGTAACATGAGAATATTCTGGGGGTTGGTTGCATAACCATATGTGGATACTTAGCACTGTTTTGTTTGTTTGTTTTTTTTGGATCTCACCCAGCAATGCTCAGAGGTTATTCCTGGTGTGCCCTAGGAATTAGTCCTTGCAGTGCTTTGGGGATAGAGGGCTACCAGGGATTGAACCCAGGTTGGTTGTGTGCAAGGCAAACTCTCTACCCGCTGTACTATGACTCCAGCCCAAATACTTAGCACTGTTAAACTGTTTACCCTTTCACAGGATGAAAATGGGAAATGCTGGGATGGGCGAGACAGTGCAATGGATTGAGCACATGTCTTTCAGGCAGGAGGCCTGGGTTTGATCCCCAGAACTGCATGGTCTCCAGAGCACCATGCTGGGAGCAACCCCAAGTGCTGTAGAGTGTGGCCCCCAAACAAACATCCCTGCCAAAGAAGGCAAATTTTATGTTTTGAGTTTTGCCACAATCTGAAAAATGTAAGGCAGTGAAATGGTGAGAGCAGAGAGCTGTCACATTTTTTGTTTGGTTAAGCGCAAATTTGAGTTCATACATGTCACTAAGAGACTATATTTGAATAATATGTCTAAGATTGAAATAGATTATTTGTGTTTTTCAGTCTGGTTCTCAGGCCAGGGAGAAAATTAGACAAGAACAGATGGATTTAAGAACTGGAGAGAATGTCCAGCGGGTAGGGTGCTTGCCTCGCATGCAGCTGTCCTGACTTCAGTCCCTGGCATCATATATGTTCCCCTGAGCACCGGCAGGAGTAAACCCTGAATGCAGAGCCAGGAATAAGCCCTGAGCATTACTGGGTGTGGCTCCCCAAACAGAAAACCAATAAATATTTTTAAAAAGAGAGAGAGAGATGGATTTAATGGCCAAAGTGCCTGAAATGTACCAAAGAGGGACAGAGAGGGTCAGCCATGAGACCACAAGGAGGGGCGTCACACTCGGGAAAGAAAGGGGAAGACTGGGAAGGCAGCGTTCCGGACCACAGCACATTAGAACAGTATTTCACCCGGCGTAGGGGGGGCTGTGGGCCAGAGTTGCCCACTCTATGAATCCCTTATGGACTCTTTTCATTGGGGGTCACTTCTGCTTCCCAACAAAACAGCTGACCAGGCGCACCCCTCACCTCTCGCCCATTGAACCGACTTCCCTGCCGTTCCATCTGCCACTCCATCTCATGAGTGTGGTTGCCATGTCGACACAGCCCCTCTTGGCCTTATTCTCACAATCCAAGTCACATCTTCTTGAAATGAGGCCTGAGTTTCCCCCTCCTCTTTCACCTGGGCACGAGTCTGTCCCCTTCCTGAGGGTCATATATCTGGACTGGAGGAGAGGGCTTGGTGCTGGCTGGTGGGGGCATCTATTTACCTGGTCAGGCTGGCATGCTGGGACTCAGTCTCGACCCTTTTGATTTGACGGTGGGCTAAACTGGGTCTGTTTCCTTTTGTGATTTGATGGGCCCAATAGAACTCAGCTCACAATTGTAAGGACTGGATGCATGGCGAAATTTTCTGTCTTTACCAAACTCTTATACTAGGTCAGGAGCTGCGTCTCAAAAAGTTTGATACTTTGGTCTTGGGCGGTCATATTCCAAGATCCCAAGGAATACTTGGTGATTTTCTCTAGGAATCTTTCTAGAGGCTTAATGCTGCTTCTTTGCCCATCAGTGAAACCTGTCTGTTGTACCACAGAGTCCCAGATGCAGGCTGTTTGCACCTTGAGCATCCTTTCTCATAACAGGACCCCCTTGGAGTTGGCTTTCATCTGTATCACCTGGCATTTGTGGATATCTAGCATTTCTAAACGTGGTCTGCATTGCTCCCAGAGTCCAAGCAAGACTACTGGAAGAGGAAAGGAGGTGTCCAGGCTCAGCCTCTGCTTTAATCTACAGTCATTGCAATCTGGTCCAAACCTCAGCATCCTAAGAAGCAAGAGACAAGTCCTTCAGGGATTTGGGGGCTACAGACTGATGCTGAAGAAAGTCCCTTGGCAGGAAGGGAAGTGGTTGGCCTCTTCCTTTCTCTCTCTTTCTCCTGGCCTCGCCAAGAGGTAGAGAAAGGAAGTCCCCATGCCAAATCAAATAAACTTTCTGGGCCTCACTTCCCTCCTTTGGCTAGTAAGAAAAGGCACTACTGACTCTGCAAGGATCCACGAGGTCGTGGGAAGGATTTCCACAAAGGATGCTTCACACACCCAAGGGAAGTCTGGGAGCTGCGCCCGCGGCAGCGGCTATCCCTCGGACCCCTTCGCGAGGCGCGGTGTGGCCAGCGTGCGCGCAGAACCTCCCCAGCCCAAAGCTCGGGCCGGAAGGGGCGTGGCCTCCCAAAGCCCCGCCTCTCCGCTGGCGTCGCGTCGTCCTGGCAACGCGCTGGGCGGTCGCAGCCCGGGTGACGCACCGCAGCTGGCCGCCGGCGTTCTCGGCCACCCTCGGCTTTGGCCAAAGGTCGCTTGAGCAAAAATGACGTCGGTCTCTGAGCGCTCCGAGTCCTCGGACTCGCGCTGCGGAGACCCGAGTGAGATGCCTCTGATCCAGCTGTGCGGGCTGGTGGAAGACCTCAGGTACCCGCTGCCTGGCCTCCGGGGGACCCCCCTGCAGCCCCGTGTGGGCTGGGACCAGGGTCCGGCGTGGAGGCTCCAAGTCTGCTTCGAACATTCAGGAGAGCGAGAACCCCCGGGGTGGGGCGGCGCCTTTGCTTGCCTTTGCTGCCGCAGAACTGGCAAGAAGCGGGGACTCCAACTGAGGGCGTGGGGCCGGTGACGCCGACGCCTCGCGGGGACTGGGGAAGCCGGGGCCAAAGCCTAGGGTGACAAAGTCTAGGGTCACTGTGCCACTAACCCTGTGGCTGCAGGTCACCCTGATCGACCCCTGACCTCTACCCCGTGCAGAAATTCTAGGATACGAGGCATATGGCAACAGAATAGAAGGAAACGCTTAGAGGTGTTTTCGGAATGAGGCAGCTTGCCCCTGAGCTAGGATATAAGCACGAAAGTGGACAACCAAAAAAAAAAAAATCAATGCCAACTCTTGGTCACTTTTCCTTCGGCGCTAGCAGTAGACTTGGGTGGGTTCTCTCCTGCGGTTCAACTTTTTGGTATAAGTCGTTGCCCTTACACAGGCTATCCGGAGTCTAGCAGCTGAATAGATGTGATTGCTTTTTCTTTTTGGGTCACACCTGGCGATGCACAGGAGTTACTCCTGGCTCTGCACTCAGGAATTACTCCTGACAGTGCTTGGGGGACCACATCGGATGCTGGGTCGAACCCCAGTCTGCCGTGTGCAAGGCAAAAGCCCTACATGATGTGCTATTGCTCTAGCCCCGTGATTTCTTTTTAAATAGTTTAGGGGAGAACTGAGATAACATTGCTAATAACGACCTTTTTTTTTTTTTGAGGCCTTTAAATTTTTTGTTTTTGGAATTGAGATTCCACGGTCTACAATACTATTAATTATTTTACGTGCGCATGATTCCAACACCACAGCCTTCATTAGTGTAACCCACCTTCCTCTCCCAAAGACCTCCAATACTCCCTTTCAGATCTCCCTCACTAACTCAGTTTTGAGGACCAGTTCTTAAATAGTGATCTATTTTGCATGTATGCCCTCCTATAATGGCCCAGTCACCCAGCAAGAAACAAGACGCAGAAGCTAAGACACTTTGCTAGAGGTAGTGCTGGGAGTCAGTCCGCTCAGCCACTGCATAACCTACCCAGGAGATATAGTGAAAACAAAAGATCCTTTGATGCTATGGGCTTTCCACTGAGCCTTCCCACTAATTTAAAATTCAGTCAAACACATTTACCTCAAAGCACAGGAACATGGCCTCGAAAACAGATGCACACCTATGTTCATTGCAGCAGGATATGAACAACCCAAATGTCCAATGACAGATGAATATAAAAAGAAGTTGTAGCATATATACACACATGGTAAATTATGCCTCTGTAAGAGAAGAGGAAATCTTGCAGTTTTTGCCACTTGGATGGAACTTAAGGGTATCATGTTAAATGAAATAAGTCAGGGAGAACAACAAAATCCAGATGATCTCACTCATCTGTGATATGAAGAGAAACAAAACAAGGGAATAGACAGTTTGAGTGATGACAAAGCCTTGACTTTTCATTACAAAACTGAGATTAGCAAAGTGGTGGGGGAGGGGGAGAGGAGAGAGAGGACTAGAAGTGACACAGGGAAGTGGTGGTCAGTCTTGGCCATTCTGGTGGCGTTAAAGGGGTGGTTGTTCTACATCAGAAACATATATGTTAGCACTGTTGTAACCAGGTTACCTAAACTGCAGTACAGAATTAAAAATTTTAATTCAGCAACCAAGATTTGTTCATAATATATAAAATATCGAAGCTATTCTCTTTTAGATGTGTGTATATATACATGTATGCATACACATTCTATATACAATGCATACACATAACATGTGTGCATACATGTATATATGTGCATGAAGTCAAAAAGGTCATAAGTTTGGTATATCCAGGATAAACGAGGTTGATCATTTCTGTTTACAAAACATCTGTTCAAAGTTTTTCCATCATTTATTTATTTATTTTTATTTTATTTTAAAATGTAGGAGTGCTGCTTTTTTATTCAGCCATTAATTAAGCTGATTGAATTTTCCCGACCATTTATTATGAACTCCAAGTTTATACTTTATTGGGTACCAGAAATTAAAAAACTGAGAAACATTAACCAAAGGCAGGCTGGAAGGTTTGTGGATATGAGTAACTGAGAGAGAGTAGTCATTCAGAAGGAATTTCACGGATGGGCTAGGAAATACTTGAAGATGACATGGCAACTTTAGCTCAGCATCAATTTTCCGTGTGATCCCAGTGCTCTGAGTTGCACAGCTCATTAGATAGTGGGGAGTGATCGTACAGCAGAGAGGGCCCTTGTCTTGCACATGGCTGACCTGGGTTCGATCCCTGGCACCCCATATGGTTCCCCAAATACTGCCACAAGTGATCCCTGAACGCAGAGCCATGTGTAACCCTTGAGCATCACTGGGTGTGGCCTCCAAATTATCAAAACTGTGAATAGTAACTTATTTTGTGCCAGGAACTCTCCTAGATTTCACATTCTTTATTGTAACCATAAAAGATCAGTGTTGATTTTTGTTGTTGCTGTTTGGGCCAAATCTGATGGTGATCAGGACTTACTCTTGGCTCTGTGTTCAGGGATTGCTTCTGGTAGGGCTCAGGGGACTCTAGGGCATAATAGTATGCCCTACTGGCTGGCTATACTATTTCTCTGACCCTTGGTGCCATTTTTATTCCCATTATACAGATCAGGGAACTGAGCTGCAGCATTATCTCACAGAAGGTAACACCTAGCTCCTAAACACAGTCATTTGGTATTTTAATCGACAATTAGTAGAACACACAGAGCTACCTGTATTTTGCAGCTATGGAATCTCTGCCCTCAAGACAGAGACAGTGATGTTTGAAAAGTACTACAATAAACTGGATCCCAGGGATCAGAAATATCCTCGATTATCAGATATTAAAATGACAGGACAAGAATATGCACAGGTAAGCAAAATATCCTCGATTATCAGATATTAAAATATTAAAATGACAGGACAAGAATATGCACAGGTAAGCAACGGAGAGCTGATGTGACTGCCTCTGTGTCCCCTTAGATATAAGTATTTGTGCATTTGCCGAGATGTGTCTTGGATGGAGTAGCTTTCTCCCCGCTCTACTTCTGAGTTTTGGGGCACATAGCTGACCTGGATTCAATCCCCAGCATCTCATATGGTCCCCCGATTCCACCAGGAATGATCCCTCAGCACCATCCAGTGTGGCCCCCAAATAAAAAAAAACAAAACTTATAATTGGTCACGGTCACGGTCCTCCCGTTGTTCATCGATTTTGCTCGAGCGGGCCCAGTAACGTCTCCATCATGAGACTTGTTGTTACTGTGTTTGGCATATCGAGTACGTCACGGGTAGTTTGCAGGCTCTGCCGTGAGGGTGAGATACTCTCCGTAGCTTGCCGGACTCTCCGAGAGGGGCGGAGGAATCGAACTCGAGTCGGCCATGTTGGCTGTGTGCAAGGCAAATGCCCTACCGCTGTGCTATCGCTCCAACCTCAAACTTATAATAAAGCCATTCATTTCTAGGTCTGGGAATGTGGCGCAGCCAGAGAGCACTCACCTTGCAATGGTGAGATCCCAAGTTTGCTCTCTGGCACCACAAACCCAAAAAGTTAGCATTAAAAATGATAATCATAAATAAAGATAAAGTAACTCCTAACAGAGCGGAGTGGTCAGTTTGACACTCACCGTGGGCCACTTTGTGACCAATGACTTTGTTCTTGCGCCACAGTTCCGGAGCAGGCGTCAATCCAGATCCCGACCAGACCGAACCATAGGCCTGACCATCGAGCAGAAATGCCAAATGATGCAGAGGGAGCTGGAGGACACCAAGGAAACTATCCGGCACATGCGCGCCAACGCGGAGCGTGACCTGCAGTACCATGAGGTACCCTTTGCCCCGGGGGTTCTGTGTCTGTGGAGAAGGAAATGCCAGTAGGATGAGGCTCGCTGGGGACCTACTGGCCAGTTCACTGCGCCTTGCTGGAGGAGACAGTACACTGGAAACCTTTTTTTTTTTTTTTTTTTTTTTTTGCTTTTTGGGTCACACCCGGTGATGCACAGGGGTTACTCCTGGCTCTGCACCCAGGAATTGCTCCTAGTGATGCTTGGGGGACCATATGGGATGCTGGGAATGGAACCCGGGTCTGCCGCATGCAAGGCAAACGCCCTTCCTGCTGTGCTATCACTCTAGCCCCTGGAAACTTTTTTAAATGGAAAATTTCAAAAAGACACAGATAAAGAGAGGCTGGAGAGATTGATGGAGGTGAGGGGGGTGGTGATTGCCTTGCAGGCTGCAGACCCGGGTTTGATCTCTGGCACCCCATGTAGCTGCCTCCAGGCCTGCCAGTGATCCCTGCATGTGGAAGGGAACCCTGAGCACGGCTGGATGTGACCCCAAAGCCAACCAACAAAATAAAATAAGGGAAGCCAGCATGAGTGAACCTACACTACAGTTCCTTTGTTTCCTCCAGAATCTCGGCACCCCTCCCCTCCATCCACCAAAGACTTTTGGGCAGTGAGAAATGACGCCTAGGCCTGTCACTTACCTGCCAATGCTTTAGCATGTGTTCCTAGGATACAGAATCTTGAAAAAAATATAGCCCTGGGCTGGAAGGTAGCTTCAGGGGCAAGAGGCCCCGGGTGTGATCGGGGCCACCCCGTGGTGGTCCTGAGCACTAAGCCAGGAGTCTGGCCACTGCTGGGTTTGACTCCAAAGGCACATACATAAAACTGGGCCCCATCGGGTGCAAGCTCAAAGGGGCATGCCTCACCACTATGTGGCCCCGAGTTCAGTTCCACGAATCCCATGAACTACCCCCTCAGCACTGCTGTGTGTAGCCCCAGGGACCCCCAGCACTGCAGGGGCCGAGCTCCACCTCTCCCTCTGACTGTCAGGCCAGCACAGAGGGAAAACTTTGCCGGGAGTGGCCCGAGGGCCCCACTGGGCATAACTTGGGAGGCCCCCTCCAAAAATGACTCCAAAAATAGAAAGAGCTGAAAGGAGAACGTGTGAAAACACCCACAGCCTCTCCCTGGGGCTCTCGCCTGGCGTTCGTCTCCTTCTGCAGTCCAGATACGTTCTCTGCACAGATGAATTTCTTTGTCAGATGCTGTGCGGCTTCGTGAATGGTATTTGTTGCTTAGTGTTTCCTATGGCGAGACCTGTATGGGTCTATCAAACTACAGTTCTTATCAAACTACAGTTCCCCAGTCGCATGGCTTCTTCGTCTGCCCACTAATCTCTCCACATGTGACGGTGTCTGCTGACTTGCCTTGCAGCATTTTAAATATTAGAGTACATTGTATTGCATGACATTATGTAAGTCATAACACAATTTTAATGGACTAAATATTTCAAATACGGAAATATAATTTGTAGGGATATTTGAGACCCAATTTTTGTTTTCCCTCTTTACAGAATCCTAATTTTTCTGTCATGGTTTTTTTTTTGAGGGTTTTTTGGGGGTGACATGTAGCAGTACCTGGATCCTACCAGCTCAGGTCTGTACTTGAGGGTAACTCCCAGAGTAACTCCAGGAATCAAACCTGGAGCTCCCATTTTGCAGGGGGAGGAGAGGGGTTGTTTTATGACTCCTTTGTTTTTCCCTTGAGTCGTGCAGGGCTTTCAGATAGTCAAATTTTTATAGTGAAGACATCTTTCTAAAATGAAGGACAGTATATCGAGTCCCTGAAAACTAGGAGGGTGCATCCTGGAGAATTCTGGGACCCCCCCCCCATCCCTCCCCTCCATTTTCTCATTGAGCTGTTTCCCCAGGCTATAATTGAGGAAGCGGAAATTCGGTGGGCAGAAGTTCAGAAAGCAATGTCTGATTTTGAAAAAGATATTCTGACGACCATATCCAAGAAGAAAGGCAGCATTCTGGCCACTCAGAAAGTGATGAAGTACATTGAAGACATGAATCGACGGAGAGTGAGTTCCCCAGTGGTTAGAACTGAGTGGGGAGAATAGTACCCTACCCCACCCCACCCCCACCAGAAGATGCCCTCCCCCAGGAATGTCACCCATGTGCAAAACCCATCTGCGTTTCCCCCAACCACCCCAGTGAACTGCAAATTTGTCGAGTTAAAATCAGGTGTGGGGCTGGAGCAATAGCACAATGGGTAGAGCATTTGCCTTGCACGCGGCCGACCTGGGTTCGATTCCCAGCATCCCATATGGTCCCCTGAGCACCGCCAGGGGTAATTTCTGAGCACAGAGCCAGGAGTAACCCCTGTGCATCGCCAGGTGTGACCCAAAAAGAAAAAAATCAGTTAGGTGTTCCCCACTCCAAGGGACCCAGCCCTGGCAGCCAAAAACCTCAGAACTCAACCCCACCATGCTCACGGCCGCTCTCCACACGCTTGGACCGAGCCTCACCCACAAGTGAACCTATTCCTGGACCACACAGTCACATTTGTGGCCTTGAGACACTTTATAGGACATACCCTACCCATATTCCAAGAGTACTGCACCACATTTGATGGGATTCAAAGTAGGAGGCAACCAAACTTAGAGGGAAATATTATATTATATCAGTTCTGCTTTGGGGCAAGGATTGGGGTACAGAATGGAAACCCCCGAAATATGGTAGTGGGAAGGTGTATGGTGGTGGGGTTGGTGTTTGAATATTAAATGTAAAATAAAATATTATGAACTACTTTATAAAATTAAAAAAAAATCAGTTAGGTGGGACAAACCGTCTGACTCTGAGTTGTATTTTCCAAGATGTGATGTTCTTCTCAGAGAGGCATGAGAGAGACTGGTCAGGGGCCTGTGTGGAGTAGGTGCATCTCACGTTCACCTTGACTTCTGGAGTTGTTTATAGCATGTCCAGCTTTGACTTCTGGGACGGTGTCAGGTTCTAAACCTGAACATGTTGTGCACCATGCCACTACCAAGAGAATCAAACACTAAAGGGTCCTAAGTTGCCAGGAAGGGGCCCGATCCCTGGGTCATAAGCCCCAAGTACCCTGAACTCAACATCACTGGGAAACAGGCATTGAGCAGATGTGATCGCTTCTGCTTCCGGGTCACGAGTGACTGGCCTGAGCTTGGGGGATTCCGGGAGACCTGGAAACGAGAGAGGGAATGGTAGGGTTTAGGGCTGGCTGTGTGGTGCCAGCCCCTCCCCCCCCAGATTTTTAACAAGGAGGGAGAAGAGAAGTTGACTAACATACGCTTTTATTTATTTACTTTCAGGATGATATGAAGGATAAATTACGTTTGAAAAATGTTTCTCTCAAAGTCCAGAAGAAAAAAATGCTTTTACAGCTGAGGCAGGTAGATAGCCCTCACGCTCCTGCTCCCTCTCCCTTGCTTGCTTTTATTTAAGAACCTCTTGTTGTTTTGGGGTGCCGTACCAGGCAGTGCTCGGGGCTTACTTCTGGCTCTGCATTCAGGGATCGCTCCTAGGGGCTCAGGGGACCATGGAGGATGCCGGGGATCGAACCTGGGCCAGCCATGTGCCAGGCAAGTGCCGTTCCCACTGGACTATCTCTCCAGCCCTGCTTCACACACTCATTTTCTGGCTTTATACACACTTGGATGCTGTGAACTGGGGGTCACAGACATGTCACCAGCAAGCACAGCAGAGCCACCAGGATCTCACACTGCAGGTGGGGCGGTGCTGGGGGTCCCGCTGTGGGTCTCATGCCCATGATGACTTGCAGACTTTGAATGCGTGTGACTCTCCCGTCCTGTGAATGTGGGCACCCCGGCGGGGTCTGCCCTGGGAAGCGTTCTCGGACCTTTCTCTCTCCCCTGGCCTGCCTGCCACCCCTGCTGGCCCCCTTCTGCCCCCCGGGCACGTGTCTGTGGAGCCTTGTTGAGAACGAGCTTCCTGAGAATGGCAAACCTCCATTCCTGGAGCCTCGCTCCCTGCAAGAGTCAAGCTGACGGTCTTATCTCACGTTTGTTGAATGACTGCCTAAGAACCGACTTCCAGAATCTCAGCCGGCCTCACCAGCATGGGGCTCAAAGGTTCAGAAATCTCAGCCTCGGGCTGGAGTGATAGGACAGCCGGGAGGGCATTTGACTTGCATGTGGCTGACCCGGGTTCAATTCCCAGCATCCCATATGGTCCCCCGGGCACCGCCAGGAGTGATTCCTGAGTGCAGAGCCAGGAGGAACCGCTGTGCATCACCGGGTTTGACCCCCCCCCCCCCCAAAAAAAAGCCTAAATAAACAAACAAATAAAAATAAACCAGAAATCTCAGCCTCACTTCTCTCTGCTTTCCGAGTCATAGAAGGAAGAAGTGGGCGACGCCCTCCACGAGGTCGACTTTCAGCAGCTGAAGATCGAGAACGCTCAGTTTTTAGAGATCATTGAAACGAAAAACAGTGAACTGGTTCAGCTGAAGCTGGTCTCTGGAAATGCCCTGCATATTCTCAGCATGCACAAAGTAAGGAGGCCCCTGCGCCCAGGGCCCCCAGGCCCCCACGCCCGCCTCCCCAGGCCCCGTGAGTGCCCGGTGGGGCCAGCAGGGTTCCTTCCAGCAGAGCGTCCCTGTCCCCGTCCGCCTGCTGCCCCCCCCCCCCCCCCCCCCGGGTTCTTTTAGTCAAACCTTGGCTCCGACAGGGTCCTCCAGACAGTCCTTGGCCGAGATTCTGACCCACCTGGGAACTTTCACTTTTAAAATACTACCTAGATGGGGCCAGAAAGACAATCCAGCGGTGAAGGTGCTTGCCTCGTACGCCATTGACCTGGGTTTGATCCCCAGCACCACATAGGGTCCCTCGAGCCCCACCAGGAGTGATTCTTGAGTGCAGAGCCAGGAGTAAGACCTGAGCACTGCCAGGTGTGGCCCCCAAACTCAACTCAACTCCTACGCAGCTGTCCTGACTGGAGGAGAGTGTCCTGTGGCTTTTCTTTTCTTCCTTCCTTCCTTCCTTCCTTCCTTCCTTCCTTCCTTCCTTCCTCCTCCTCCTCCTCCTCCTCCTCCTTCTTTCCTTCCTTCTTTCCTTCCTTCCTTCCTTCCTTCCTTCCTTCCTCCTCCTCCTCCTCCTCCTCCTCCCTCCCTCCCTCCCTCCCTCCCTCCCTCCCTTCCTTCCTTCCTTCCTTCCTTCCTTCCTTCCTTCCTTCCTTTCTCTCTTTCTCTCTCTTTCTCTCTCTCTCTTTCTCTTTCTCTCTCTTTCTCTTTCTCTCTTTCTCTCCCCCTTCCTTCCTTCCTTCCTTCCTTTCTTCTTTCTTTCCTTCTTTCTCTCTCTCTCTCTCTTTCTCTCCTCCTTCCTTCCTTCCTTCCTTCCTTTCTTTCTTTCTTTCTTTCTTTCTTTCTTTCTTTCTTTCTCTCTTTCTTTCTTTCTTTCTTTCTCTTTTTGAGTCACACCCAGCAATGCTCAGGGGTTACTCCTGGCTCTGCACTCAGGACCTACACTTGTGGTGCTGGGGGACCACATGGGATGCCAAGGATTGAACCCATGTGCAAGGCAAACTCCCTACCTGCTGTACTATCCCTCCAGTCCCTTCTTTATAATTATATATTGGTTTTGGTTCACACCTGGCAGTGCTTGGGGCTTGCTCCTGGCTCTGTGCTCAGGAATGATTCTTGGCAGGAGACCAATGCTTTTTCTGTTGTAAATATAAGCCTGCTATGGCCAAGATATTTACTTGCTGGCCTTCTCTGAATGACTGGCCAGGACACAGATGGCAGGAGTGGGCCTCAGGATTTGGGGGGCACGACAGGGCCCCATGCTGTTGCCTGTGTGGGCTGGAGGTGCTCCCCTGACTCTTCCCTTTCACAGATCACACTGCAAGGGCCCTCGAGATGCAGGTGGTGGCCCCAGGCCAGCCCCAGGTCTGTGACAGGGCTGGACTCTTCATGGGCACGTGGTTCCCCCAGACCCAGCTGCCCCCTGGCACCAAGGGCACAGAGGGTACTCAGTGCCTCCGCTCCGACCCTGTCACTCCAGAGGCTGCTTCCCAGTCCCGTGGCAGGCAGTGGCCCCCTCCCCCTGGGGCTGGGTCTTTTTTTTTTTTTTTTGAGGATCACACTGGTGATGCTCAGGGATTACTCCTGGCTCTGCACTAGGAATTACTCCTGGAGGTGCTCACGAGACCATATGGGATGCTGAGAATTGCACCCGGGTCAGCCACGAGCAAGGCAAATGCCCTTTCTGCCATGCTGTCGCTCTCCGGGGCTGGGTCTTAACCCGCAGGGTCGCTTGGGGGACCGTGGGTCGGGTTCAGAGGGGAGACCCCGGTGTTGAGTGAGTCTGGGCCTATGCTTTGTTCGGAGCTGGCCCCGGTCGGGCAGGAGCCTCTGGTCTGGGTGTGCCCCCACCCCCAACCTCTGCTTGAGACCTGGTGCCTTAGCAGGCGGTGGGGCTTGGGAGACCCCCTCCTCCCCCCCCCCCCCCCCACACACATACACACATCCTGACGGGCCACAGCAAGAGAGAGGCAGACTCCTGGCTTCCATGCTCTGGGACAGAGCAGCACCCCGGTGAGGTGGGGAGTCAGAGAATGGACTGGGGGTGGGTCCTGCTGGGGACCCCTCCCATCAGAGGTGGGGGTTTGCACCTTTGTGTCCAGGACAAAATGGCCTCTGGTCAGGGCTGTGGCCGGTGTGTCTGACAGCGGCTGGGACGGTGGTTTTGAGTGACCAGTGACTGAGGTGACAGGGCTGCGGGCACAGAAAACTCACCCCCCGCATGTGAGGCCCCTGTGGGGCTCTGCAGGCCGGCGGGCGGCTGCCCTCCTCGCCCAGAGGTCCCGAGTGCCCGCGTGGGTGCGGGGCTGGGCCTTCCCTCCCCTCTGACACCTGCCCTCCAGCCCCACCTGCTGGCACCTGGCAGGACCTACACCTGGGTGGCGCCTGCACGAGTCACTCAGAGCCCCTGGGTGCCAGTGGACCTCCTGTCTGCTCAGAGGCCCCGCACTGTAGCACTGTCCTCCCGTTGTTAATCGATTTGCTCGCGCGGGCCCAGTAACGTCTCCATTGTGACACCTGTTACTGTGTTTGGCATATCGAATACATCACAGGGAGCTTGCCAGGCTTCGGCGTGTGGGCGAGATACTCTCCGTAGTTTGCTGAGCTCTCCAAGAGGGGCGGAGGAATCGAACCGGGTCAGCTGCATGCAAGGCAAACGCCCTACCCGCTGGGCTATCGCTCCAGCCCAGAGAGGCCCCGCAGGACACTAAAATTCTCCATCCTCCGGGACTCCCCCCTGAGTAGCCCCCGGGGGTGGCATGGGGTGCTGCCTCTAGCTTCTGTTCTTTTGTAGGACCGACTTTCTCACAGGCTAGCCTGAGGGACCACCCACTCCAGGGAGCCCCTGGAGAGCAGAGTGTCCTCTGCAAGAGGAAGGCAGCGAGGGGACATGAGAAGGAAATTCTTGATGCCAGTTGTGCGTGCCCCCCACAACAACCCAGAGAAGGAGGCCAGTCCCAGAACGGACCCGTGGTGCTGGCCGGCCAGTGTCCGGCCCTGCTGGGCCTGACCTCTGACCTGTAGGAACTGCAACGTGATCAAACGGGGGGAGGGAGGGCTGCTTCATACCCCCAGTCGGCTGAATTGTCAGCCCGCAAGACAGAGAGCTAAGGCTTCTCAGAAAGGGCCCCCGCAGCCAGGAGGGGGGAATACCCCCCTCTGCCTCACCCTGCCCGCTTCCTGCTGCCTGCCCAGCTGGTCTCTGGCCTGCGTGGGCTTCTCTAAGCAGAGCCCTAGGCTGGCAGGAGTGGGAGGGGAGGAGAAGGCCGGCAGGGAGGAAGAGAAGGATGGAAGGGAAAGTGAAGGGAGTGAGAGGGAGAGGGGGAGAGAGGAAGAAGGAAGGGAAGGACGAAGGATGAAAGGAAGGAAGGGAGGGAAGGAGAAAGGAGCCAGGCGGGAGCAAGTGGGATCAGCCTTCCAGCTCTTTCCGGCATCCCTTCCGGAGAATATTTGCCCACTCAGTGCTTGGCACAGGGCAATTCTCTTCCTCTAGGATGTGGCAGGGCCCGCCCAGTATCTTAGACCACTGCCTCTTCTCCTTCCCTTCCCCCCCTCCTTTTTCTTTTCTTCTTCCTCCTCTTCCTCCTCCTCCTCTTCCTCCTTTACCTCCCCTTTCTCCTCCTCTTCCTCTTCCTCCTCTTCCTCCTCTGCCTCCCCTTCCTCCTCCTCTTCCTCTTCCTCCTCCTCTTCTTCCTCTACCTCCCCTTCCTCTTCCTCCTCCCCTTCTCTTCTTCCTCTTCCTCCTCCTCCTCCTTCTCCTTTTCCTCCTACTTCTCTTCCTCCTCCTCCTCCTCCTCTTCCTCCTCTGCCTCCCTTTCCTCCTCCTCCTCCTCTTCCTCTTCCTCCTCCTCTTCTTCCTCTATCTCCCCTTCCTCCTCCTCCTCCTCCTCCTCTTCCTTGTCCTCCTCTTCCTCCTTCTCTTCTTCCTCTTCCTCCTCCACCGAGTGCACCCCGCCCCCTCCCCCCCCCCCCCCCCCCCGCCTGGACCCATGAGACTGTCACACATGGTCTGGCTCAGACTTGGCTTCTTGTATCGTGACCTTGGACCAACGGCTCCCCCGAAGAGGCAGTTCCAGACCTGTGAATGGTGGGATGGGGGTTTGTTCAGAGCAGAGGCTGGAATGGCCGCTGTGCGCTGGGTTCTCCACAGGGCAGGTGGCAAACTCAGCCCTTCCCGGAATCAACCGCCTCTCGCACTCCTAAGAAGCAACGAGCCCGCATTTGGGAGCTTCTGAACCTTCTCCACAGCTTGTTAGTAAGCTGTGGACGGGACTTGGGGCCCAGCAGAGGCATCTCCCGTGTCGGCCTTTCACACAGACGCTAGTGCAGGGTCTCGGGCCTCCTCGAGGTGGGCTGGTGCTGGCCACCCCCCCCACCCCCGCATGGGCCCTTGCGGTTCTTCTGCTTCCTTAGGGGCTGTTTATGCTCCCAGAGTTCCCGATTCTTCTTCACGGCTCACTCTCTGGTTCCGTTTCAGAGCCGACTCCACCAAGCCCTGGAACTGTCCTCCCAACTGGACAAGGAGATCCAGCTGAGAGACGAGTTACTTAAAAAAGTCGAGAAAGAGAGTGTCCAAGCAGAGGAGGTAAGGGGGGTGGGGGGGGGAGGGTCAAGCGTGCCCATGTTGTACTCGCTCCACACAGCGTTTTTTTGGCGGCGCTTTTTGGCTGAGAAAAGTCAAAAAGGGGTTCGTGTTAGATTCCAAGTACGGGAAATGCATTTTTCCAAAGCCTGGCATTTGCTCCTCAGAACACTGTCGTTTCCTCATTCACTCAGCAGCTGTATTGGGATGAACTCACAGAGGCTATAATTTACCCATTTGAAGTGTACATTTTACCCCAGGGCCCCTAAATAAGTAAATAGGCGAGTATGCATCTTATGGTTGTACAGTGTGTTTACGGAATGTCTGACCATCTGCGAGATAATTTGAGAACATTTTCGTCATCCCATCAAGAAGCTCTGAGCCCGTGAGAACTCCTCCCCTCCCCCTCTCCCCTCCCGCCCGGCCTCCCGCAGTCTACTTTCTGTCTCTGAATTTGGCCGTTTTATGGAACAAGGATCATATCATATGATATGGGATAGTCTTTCATCACTGACTTCTTTTTAAATATAACTTAATTTTTAAAAAAGTTGTTCACATAGATTTATTACATTCAATATTCCGACACCAATTCCAAGACCGTTACACCATCCCACCACTATTATTTCGAATTTTCCCACCACCACCCAAACTTACCCCCACAGCACATAAAAAATAAGTTTTTTTGTATTGCTTGTCATGAATAATTCACTAAAATGGATCCAAAAAAGTTTCCTTAGAGGAAAGTATGTGAAGCGTGTTGTATCTCACCCTGGAGCCTTATCCCTTATCAGATAAGCCCTTGTATAAGAGATTACTAACATGTTGTTACAGGTTGCCCCTTGTATGCTCTGTTGATCAAAACAGATTGTGTTCTTTATTACACCCCATGAGATATGAGATATGGTGTGCTACTCTTGATACATTAATGGGGCAGAGTATAGAGTATATAGAGTATGAGATATTGATGCAGGAATTCTAAAGTTTTAACTACGGTGATACAACTAGAGTTGAATTTTTAACTGAATGGTGACTTTGGGGTGTTGAGACATCTCTGTGGCATGTTGCTCTTTTTCTCTTCTGAGATTTTTTTTTTTTGTGAGTCTCTGGATCATGACTGTTAATGAGCTTATATGGCACCAAAGGCAGTTTGTGGCTGTGACTGCCAGGCTCTGGGAAGAACAGGGAGGTGGGGGGAGGTCACCCTATCCCGACTCCATGAGAACCTGGAGATTTCAGTTACAAAATCTGCATACCTGAGTTTTTCCAGCAGATTCATTCCCATGGACGAGGCTTGTTCCGAGCTGTGAGCATGGTGGCGATTAGGTTCTGGAATTTTTCGGCTGCTGGGGCTCTGTTGGGGTATGTGAAGGAACTCACCTGCCCTGCTCCAGGGTGCCTGAGATGAGACAGCCTAGCTTGGGATCTGGAGGCATTTCTGCGGTATGTGGCTCTCTTTCTCTTCCGAGATTTATTTGTGAGTCTCTGGATCAGGGCCATTAATTGGCTTATATGGTACCAGAGGCAGTTCTTGGGCGTGACCACCAGGCACCAGAAAGAACAGGGAGATGGAGTCATTACTGACTCCTTTAATAATACTTTCAGGATCTATGATACAGAAGAGACCAGTACCTTGACTTTTGTTTCTACGGCTGGATGCTATTTCTTTGATGGATGGGCCCCGGTTCATTCGGCCACTCCTCATTCAGTGGACATTTGGATCATTGGTACTTTTTGGCTCCTGATGAACCGTGCTGCTGTGAGCACTTGTGTGCAAGTTGCTGTGCAAACTTTCTATTCTTTCTCTTGGACCTCCACTTGGTAAAGGTAGGATTGTGGGTTACCAATGGTGACTCTATGTTTGACATGGAAAGCAGTGCTAAACTTTTGCAACATTTTACATGCCCCCACCCCTCTCTCCCTGAGCAAACTCTGAGGGTTTCTGTCTCTGCTGTTTCTCTCTCTGTTTCTGTCCCAGTGCTGGTGCAGTGTTTGTGGCCATTTAGGATCCCATGGTGTGGATCTCCTGGGTCTTGATTGGAATTTCCCTAAAGTCCTGAATGTGTGTTGAATAAATGTGTCTTCAAGTTCTTTCCCAGATTTTAGTTGTGTTGATATTTTAATCAACAAGTTGCAAGAATTCTTGATAAAATTCTGGACTCAATCCCTTATCAGATAATAAATGGTTTGTAAATATTTTCTTTCTCCCTGCAGGTTTCCCCCCACCCCAATATCTTGATGGTGTTGTTTGTAACACAAATATTTTTAATTTTGATGAAGCCCAATTTACCTACTTTTTTTTTTTTTTTTTTTTGCTTTTTGGGTCATACCTGGCATTGCGCAGAGGTTACTTCTGGTTCTGCACTCAGGAATTACTCCTGGCGGTGCTCAGGCGACCATATGGGATGCTGGGAATTGAACCAGGGTCGGCTGTGTGCAAGGCAAATGCCCTACCCGCTGTGCTATCGCTCCAGCCCCTCTACTTTTCTTTTGGGTCATATCTTAGAAATCACTACCTAACCCCTCTCTGGGATGTGATGAAATGGAAGTGTAGATCTTCAATAATGAGCCACATGTGACCTTGTAGTTTTGTTTGTTTTGGGGTCACTGCACTCAGAAATTATTGGCTCTGCACTCAGAAATTATTCCTGTTGATGTTTGGGGGACCATATGTGATGCCAAAGGAATGAACCCGGGTCGGCTGAGTGCAAGGCAAATGACTTATCTGCTATACTATAGCTCTGGCCCTCACCTTGCCTTTTTTTTTTTTTTTAATCTTTCGGTTTTGAGCCACACAGCCAGGCTCAGGGGCTACTTCCAGCCTGGTGCTCAGGAGTCTCTCCTGGAAGTGCTCAGGGGACTATGAGGTGCCAGGGATCAAATGTGTGCATCCTGGCTGGTGGAGTAGAAGTCACTCCATGAGGCAGTGGCAACGGTGGCAGCGAGAGGATGAACAATGAGTTCAACGCATGCTGGAGATATGGAGATTAATAAGACACTATTCGAAGGGACCCTTCCATCTAGTAGGAAAAACAGATGGAGGAATGGCAGCTAAGGCCGAGGGATTGAAAGATGATGACAGTGGGGACCATGATCAGAATGAAGAAAACAGCACACAGAAAGATGGTGAGAAGGAACAATTGGACAAAAGGACAAGAGTCAGAGCAGCGGCAAGAGGAAGGCAACGCATTCAGCAGAGCATCCCCTGCAGTACAACTACACTTTCTGGTACTCCAGGAGAACCCCTGGTCGGCCTATCAGCTCACAGAGCTATGAGCAGAATATCAAACAGATCGGCACCTTTGTGTCAGTGGAGCATTTCTGGAGGTTTTACAGCCACATGCTACATCCCGGGGACCTGACAGGTCACATCTCCTCAAGGAGGGGATCGAGCCCATGTGGGAGAATGATGCTAATAAAAACGGTTGCAAGTGGATCATCTGCCTACGGAAGCGCTTGGCATCCCGCTGCTGGGAAAATCTCATCCTGGCCATGTTGGGGGAGTTCATGGTCGGGGAGGAGGTCTGCAGGGCCATGGTCTCTGTCCGCTTTCAGGAGGACATCCTCTCAATATGGAACAAGACAGCCAGCGACCAAGCTACCACGGCCCGGATTTGGGACATGCTTCGGTGAGTGCTTAACCTCCCTCCCAACACCATTAGGAGTACAAAACCCACACTGACAGCATCAAAATGCCAGGCAGGCATTTTGTACAAAACCTCTGGTTTGTACAAAACCCAAAGGCTCCTTGTACAAAACCTCTGAAAGCCGCAGTTGAATGTGCCCCGAGGTCCCCTGGATGGCACCATCATTGAAGTTGGCCTCATCGGATCTCTTGTTGTGTTGGCATGTACCCGGAAGACACTTCTGTCCCGGATCAGAGCCACTGGAGGGGCATTTTCTGTTGTTTTTTTTTCACACAGCCTACATGACCAACTTGAGTTCGATTCCTCCACCCCTCTCGGAGAGCCCGGTAAACTACCGAGAGTATCTCGCCCGCACGGCAGAGCCTGGCAAGCTACCTGTGATGTACTCGATATGCCAAGCACAGTAACAACAAAGTCCCCAATGGAGATGTTACTGGACCCGCTCGACCAAATCAATGAACAACGGGAGGACCGTGACCGTGATTTTATAATTTTATTTATTGAATCACTGTGAGAGCAGTTGCAAAGCTTTCAGGTCTAAGTCTCGGTCATACAATGAAACACCTGTACCTTCACCAGTGCCCATTCTCCACCCCCAACAGCCCCAGTCTACCCCCATCCCACACCCTCCCCCTACCTGTGGGGCATATGATTTCCACATTACTCTCTCTCTACTTTGATCACATTAAATATTTCGACACCAGACCCACCATTATTATTAGAGATTTTACCCCAACACTCAGATCTGCTGAAAAGGCAACAGTAGACAATTTGTTTTCTATTGCTGGTTATGAATAACATATGATGTTGCGCGGCTGCAGTAGGGCCATGTGATTTTGAAATTCTGAAATTTTAACAGTTAAATCTGGAGAGATTTCTGCCAAAAGCCACTGAGTTTTGAGATTTGTTTCTGAGTCTCTGGGATCATGGCCGTTAAGCAGCTTGATCAGGAGCCAGAGAGGCCGTTCGTGGGCAATGACTTGAGGTCTTGTTGGGGTGGGGAGGACAGGCCTGGCTCCACCCCCATCCTGTGAGGCCCAAAATGTCTCGTCACTGCGGGCCCAGACCTGACTGTCCAATGGCCTCTGGAGGATGACGGCCACTGAGTCGCCAAGGGGGAGCAGGTGGAGGGACAATACCCTTTCCACCCTGGGGTGGCCGGGTGACAGTAATGTACTGCGGGGTCCGGACGCATTTCTGCCAAAAGCCGCTGGGTTTCAAGATTTGTTTCTGAGTCTCTGGGATCATATCATGGCTGTTAAGCAGCTTGATCAGGAACCAGAGAGGCCGTTCATGGGCGGCAATTTGGGGTCTCGTTGGAACAGGGAAGAAAGGGCTGGTCCACCCCCATCCTATGAG